ACACACACACACACACACACACACACACACACACACACACACGCACACACACAGAGAGCACCCAGAGTGTCCAAGGACAGGGGGTGGTTCAACGGAACGAGGAGACTCTGTGGCAAAAAGGAAGGATGAGCCCAATTTATCCAGAGCCTATTTGTCCTTATTTCTAATAAGGACAGATGCAGGAGAGCATCTGGAAAGTTCTCCCCTTGTCAGACCAGGGTCTGGTTCCGTGGCTGGAGTTTATTTCCTGGCCACCTCTGCTCCCCCCTTGAAAGAAAAGATTGTCTCTACAAAGAAAGAGAGGCAGGTGCATTTCAGTGTGAGCCCAGAAGTGCACTTGAAGACAAATGGTTTGTCCGGTGGCTCAGGGCAACAGCAAGAGAAGGAGAGGGAGTAGAAGGGCATAGAGTCGGCTCCCGGAAGACATAGACTCGATGTGTATCATGGCCAACGAGCCACCAACCCAGGCCATCCCCAGCAGAGGACTGAAAATGACATCAAGGCTGCACAGCACAGAAGAAAGACCGAGCGCTCCCCACTCCTGTGTTGAGAAGCCCAGTTCTGCTCCTCACTGACCGCATGAACTTGGACTGATTGCCCATCCTCTGTAAGATTTTATTTGCTTATCCTGAAATGGGGTCAACCCTTGCTCGGCCCACATCACGGCTATTATTGAATGGGAAGACATATGGAAAAGGGCTTTGGGAACCATTAAGTGCTGATTAAATGCAAGGTGTTCTCCCTTTATGAACACACAACCTGTCTGCCCTGGAATGCTGTAGGGAACAGAGCCCCACCACAGATGAAAAAAGACCAGGGCCTGGCAGGAGGAGGGGAGGGGAAGCCGTGTATAAATGTGAGAGATTAAAACTGTTGAGACTAAGAAGGCTTAGAATTCAAATTCAATGAAAACAACTCTGCCAGCCAAACCAAGCTCCTGTTTTGGTTGCTGGATGTCACTTCCAACTTAGGGAGTGTAACCATCCAGATGCACCTGTGTCCGACTTAGAACAGAGAGGCGGCAGGCCTCTCAGGCCAGACCCACTGGCCAGTGTGACAATAAAGGTGACTCATTTTACCTATGTAACGTTTACTTTCATATCAAATATAATTTCTAACGAGATTAGCCTGGCTTATATTCAGTAATATGCATATGTCATTATGCTGCCTGGTAACTGGACACAAATGGTAAATGGTCCTAATAAATGACTGAAATGATCATTATTATTTAACACAAGCACGGTTTATAGTTTTTCTCTTTTCACTTTGTTAGTTTTCCAGGATTTGTAATGAATAACTCTTTCCTGATTGCTATGATGATGATAATGATGATCATTATCTCGCATGCCCACACATATACACACACACACACTCATGCACTCACACACACACATGCACATGCTCGCTCACACACACGCACGCACACATACACACGCACACTCACACACACATACACCCCCGAAGACAGAGGTCCTGGATCATTCTTCCTGATGTGTTTAATTTCCTTGCCTTGACTGCCTTTTTTCTGGTCCCTGGGCTTAGATTTTCCCTGTGACAACCTTGCCCATCCTGTCCTCTCCCACCTCTGCACCTGTCCGCACCCCCAACCTGAGATAGAATAATTTTCTGAAGCTTCTTCTCTACATCATTTCTTTCCTTAGAAATTACTGGCTCATCATGGAATCAGACTTTCGAGTTAGCAAAACCTAAGAAACGTTTCTCTCCTAGCCTGTCAAATAGAGTGGTTAGATTCTTGGCTTGATCATGTTCACCATGGATTCCTCAGCATCTGGTACAGTGCCGGGTGCACAGCAGGCTGGCCAGAAGTAGTTGCTGATTTTTAAAACAATCTAATTCAGCCCTTTCATTTTACAATGAAAAGCTTTGGGACACAGAGCGGTTACGTGTATGTAAATGGCAGCTCCAGCACCCAAATGCAAGCCTTTCGACTTGTATGGTAAGAGTCCCAGCAGGAAACAGATGGCACACTCAAGTCAGGATAATTAACTTGAGGAAAGTTTAAAACAGGGACTATTTACAAAGATATGGACTGCATGTGGGGAAACCACAGTGGCCAGCGCAGGGTCCCACAGCTAGCAACAGTATCTCCCGTAGACCTGGAGGGGCTAGGAGGGAGGAGGGGGGACCTGAAGCAGAAAGGACAGAGTCCCAGGGAAAGAGCTTCCAGAAGAGGAGAGGGATTCTGCCAGCTGTGCACAGCCTCTCTTCTTTCCCTTTCCTCCCTCCAGGCCCCCTCCAAGGCTCCCATTGTTCAAACTCAATAGGAAGCCGGAGGAGGAGGGAGCCCTGGTGATGGAATCCCTACAGGTCAGTCTTGGCAGAAAGCAGGTTGGGGAAGGGTGGAGTGCCTCTGAAGGAGCACCTGGATGATACCCATTGCCCTGCACTGAGATGTAGCTCTAGGGGATTGTCCAGAGCAGCGAATTAATTAAGCAAACATCTCCTGAGGTCTGACTGTTGGCCAGGCCTTCGGCTGGGGCACCAGGCTGTGCTTCCGGCTTCCAAAAAGCCACCCCACTACCTATCATCCTCCATTGGAGCTTCATTCCTCTGGGGCTCCGCCAGAATATTTTGATCTCCCGGCATTGCATTGTTTAATACCATCCTGCTGGCTGGTATTGCAAAGACACCAGGGGTTTGTTTATTGACTGTGGATAAAAGAGGCTACGGGATTGTGTTCCAGACTGGGTTCTGGAGAAGGGCCTGGTTGGGCAGGAGGGTGGGAAACTGCCCTGGAGGGAAGGCAGGCAGTTTGGGGTAAGGGCGGGGAGGTGCTGGGGGAAGATCAGAGGGGAGGAGGATGCTTACCTTCTCCACAACCTTACCTGGGCCGGGAGCCTTGGCCGGCATTCGCTCACGGTAAGATGTTAGGTTGGGGGAAGGCAGAAGGCTGCAGTGTCAGAAATGGGGCAACAAAGGGTGAGAAATAAAAGAGCTGGGGAGGGAGAAGGTTCATAGGGTGCTCCACCCACCCCCTCCTTTCTCAGCAGAATCCCAGCAAGGAGTGAGTGTGCTCAAGTCAGGAAATCCCATGCATCCCTACCCTCAACAGGGAGGGAAAGAATGGCAGAATGACAACAAAAGGCATTCTCAAGTGAGTCTTAGGATTCAGTAGCTCTGATAATTTGCCAGGCAGCTGCACGGCTGAAACGTCCTCGATTAGAATTGGTCAGGCTTCCAAATCGCCCCCCTGGAATCCACGCGTTCAGAATCCCAAGGCTCAGCATCTCGAAATCCCAGGGTGTGTTTAATTAATGCTACTGCTATTTAAAGGACACACTATCATCTGGCCCACATAATGGGAATAAATTCAAAAAATTTTTTTTTTTTTTTTTTAAGAAGAAAATCGATTATCTCCACTTCTGGGACTTCCTTAACACTCCATCGACTCGGGTTCAGGCTACAGTGGTCTGATTCTTTTGTCCCCCAGGCTCTTCCAGAGGGAGAGAATTACCTTGGAAAAGTTATGGGGGAGGTCTGCAATCACACCACGTTTGTGTTGGTAGAGAAGTCTCAGACCGAGACTCTCTTGCTTCCACAGTATAAAGAGAAACCAGAAGATTTTGGAAACATCTGCGAATGTTTTTTTTTCCTGTTTTTAAATTTTCTATGTGAGTTTTTAAAAATAGATTGCACATTCACATGGTTCAAAATCCAGAGAGTACAAAAAGGTATGCTGAGGGAAAACTCCCTCCCACCGTGTCTCCTGCCCTACTCTTTCCTGGCACTGTTACATTATCTGAAGCCTTCTAGAATTTCTGTAAGCCTATATGGGCAAATGCCAATATGCCATCATAGTTTTGTCTTGTATTCATAGACAAGGTGGCCTACTGTCCCACTGTGTATAAATTCTAAAATGACCGTAGAAATTCATTACAGAGCCAGTAATACATTTTTATTAAAGATTGTTTGTTAAAAACATTATCTCATCCATTAAAATACAGGTAGTCACTCTAACGTCTGGTGCTATAGTCCACTCTAGGCAGAATCACCACTGAGGAGGGAGACTCTAACAGGATTACGTATTCATTACCTGTCTTCATCCCCTGAAATGTGAGCCATTCACTAGATACATGAGACACAAGTTAAGGCCCTATCCAGGGGCTGTGAGGCCAATGACCCGGTGCAGCATCTCATGAGAGGCCTGCTGACCTATCTTCCTGTGACATCTGGCATTTGAGCAAAAGAGGGAAGGTGGATTGAGGCAGAGAGATTTGTGATGAGAAAGAACAGTGGGCCCCTAAGTACATTTATACTGCAAATATGACAGGAAAGAAAGTCGCCCTATGAAGCCTGTGAGGAAATGCATGATAAAAAAGAACGCGGGACCCTGTATTGGATGATGTCCCATCTGAGGACCTTAAGGGAAGGCTATATTCAGCGTTGGAAACACTACAGCCAGAGCCAACTTAAAAAGCAGACGGAGGGGCACCTGGGTGGCTCGGTCGGTTGAGCATCCGACTTCGGCTCAGGTCATGATCTCGCGGTCTGTGAGTTCGAGCCCCGCATCGGGTTCTGTGCTGACAGCTGAGTCTGGAGGCTGCTTCGGATCCTGTGTCTCCCTCTCTCTTTCTGCCCCTCCCCCGCTCATGCTCTGTCTCTCTGTCAAAAATAAATAAACATTAAAAAAAAAAAAAAAAAGAAAGAAAGCAGACGGAGACCGTGTGGTTTCCCCAGAAGGGGTTCCAGTCCCCACTCATCCCTCTCAGGGACCCTGTGTGCAGTGCACAGACTGTGGAACTGGATGTACAGGATGGGCCTAACTGTAGGACAAGTGTTGTTGGTCCTCGCCCATGTGACCAAGCTAGTCTTCGGTGGTTTCTGCAGGGTTGCCCTGGTGTAGGGTGGCATGTCCTCAGGAAGGAAGTGCTTCTTCCAATTCTTGTTCTTAGGGTCCCCAGGAAAAGTCTCTGCCTGAGGCTCCAGAATGTAGTGTGGAGTTTGAAGGGACGGTAAATGTGGGAAAACGGTCCTGAAAAGCCGTGAGTTTCACTATGATTGCAAGAATTATCTTGGGTGCAATCTAACTGAAGGAATCTCTCACCCTAGCTGGTACTTTTCCCCTGGCTTGATACATGCCTTAGCTTCCCCAGTGCCCAATCGCACCTCTTTGACCTTGACAGCTGGGCCTTCGGACATTTGCCAAGGCATTGCCTCCAGCCTTGTCCTGTTTGATCCAATGAGATGCTGCTAGTTTGCCTCCTAGCTGGGTCTGTGCCTCGGCTGGTGGGGGTCTTTGCTCCGACTCATCAGGTTTGGAACTAAGCAAATGGTCCCTGGGATCGGTAGCTTCCAGATCCTTAGGTTCTTTTCAAACCTGGATGTTATTCGGCAGCCCCAGAAAACATTTCTTTCCTGAGATCAGCTCCTTGCCCAGGCCCAGGCCCAGCACAGGGCTTCACCTCCCTCCCTCCTGCCCATGCACAGACAGGGTCCTGCCTTACACAGCTGCATGGCTTTATGCATGGTTGTTTATACCACTCGTCACCTGCCCTACCCTACACTATAGAGTGACTTATTTGAAATTAACTCCCTCACTACCTCAAATTTAATTGTCACACAAAGGAAGTGAATAGAGAGACTCTCAGAGTTGGGGAGGAAAAGACTGTAACATCACCAGTGTCCTTGAAAAGCACCATAAATAAGTCATTTTAATTATATTCTCCCTTTACCAATAACAACCGTGTGTAGTCTTATCTTCAATAATACTGTCACATGACAGGAGATAAGATTCCCCAGCCTTGTTGTTGGGGGAAGATTACGTTTCCTTTCATGTTTAATTGACAAGCTATACTTACCGTGGCCATTGCCGGGGAGATAGGAGAGCCGGCTGATTTTGAAGAGATGATAGAGGGTTTGGGGATAGAACAAAGGCTACTGGATGGCAAATGTCCTTGTCCCCTGGGCTGAGGTATCCCTGTTGCATTTTCAGTTTCATCAGCTGATACGTGGTTGCCGTCATGATTCTGTATAAAATGCCACCACCAAAAAACAAAGCAAACAGAGCTGGTGACGACCTGTTTTCCCTCTCTTCTCTCTTTCTCTCTGAAAAATCAGTGTTCAGAAAATATTGTGTCCCTTTGAAAGACATCTGAAAATGGTGATAAATAGCAATAAAAGAGGAAGGAAAATCCCAGTGTCTGTGTCAAAGGGGTTTCTCACAAGTTTTATGTGGCTGGGAGAGGTTAAATGTAACTATGGAAACATAATTAATGCTATCAAGACCTTGACTTGAAATTATGTTTAGAGAAAAATGTAAATGTCACTGTCTCTTATTTCGAGAAGACAACATTTTATAAACATTGAATCTTTCCAGTCTATACGCGATGTTTCTCATTGTGTTTTTAACTGGCCGATAAAGGAAGTCAGGCTACCTCCTGTTAATTCTCTCAGATTCCTGCTCCCTAAGAAGTGAGTATAATCTTTTTTTTTTTCTTTAAAAAAATCCATCCCCTCCCTTTAAGGAAAAAAAAATATACTTTTTCTTTTCTTGACTGATTCTTATGGCATTTAAATATGTTAGAATCAACCCTTCTTCCAGTTTACTTAACTTCTATACTAATGTCATGAAACAAATCTGCCCTGTTGGTAGCTAAAACATGAAGGAAACTGCCTTCTTAGTTTTCTGGATTCCTAGAGGCAAAGATGCTCTCTTATCTCAGAAACACAGCATGCCAATGGCAGACTACTATTGGGATATGATGCATTTTGTAAATCAAACAGAAAATCTTTACATTTGTGGCAATGGGTTTCCCTCACCCTGTATAAAGCGTAACTTGACATTTATAAATTTTTTTCCCTTCAAAGATTGTTTTATCTTTTGAATATTCTATTCTCCCAAATGGTAGCTATTTCCATTTAATGCTTCCAGGACTAAAATGGAAGCATTATCTCCCTGATTCTAATTTAGACTATGGTTAAGAAAGTTTTAGCACAAATAAGGCTTTTGATTACAGGTCACTTGTAGAAAGATGCTTTAGCGTTACCGTTAAAATATTAACAATTCAGTTGTTCGATCATATCATATATTAGTGATGCGAAAATCACCCTAATATTTTGTGCCGTGTTTGTTCAGAGACTGAATTAATATCTGAAATACCAAGTTCATTACCTTCTAACCTTTTCAGGTTACACGAGATATCTTTCATTTTATAATGTATAACAGATTTTAAAATACCTTGTAACACCTGAATTCCGTCACCTTTCCCTTATTTGAAAATGATGAAGGAAAACAGTTTTTCAGAAGCAGAATAAAGATGATGGCTACTTTCAAATCACTTTTCTTCGCGAACACTGAAGCATTTGGCTATCAGAACCTAGTGTTATTTCACAAGTTTAAGAACTCTAGATTCTAATATTACTTTTTTCTAAAATAATAACCATATGGTGCTCTTAGTGATGAAAAGTACTCTTAAAAGTAGGAAGGGATTTTCATGAAAAAAGAAAGCATGAGAAAAGATTTCAAAAGGCTTTCTAGTTTTATGTGTTCACACATTAAATGCTGGGTGCCTGAGTGACATTCTGTGAGTAAAATAAATGCAGATTATGCTGTTAATGTGATTGTTTGAAGAAGCAACGAGAGGAAAACACACTGGCTTTGAGAAAAGTAATTACCTGAGGAGTTGCATTATTGGTTCCCAACCTGTAAATGAAAGAGAAAACATCAAGGAAATTACTCACTCTTACTCAACCCACAAACCTCCTCAAACCCAACCTTGCTAGGGCAGCGTCTCTCTTCAAATGGTTATACCCGAAGCATCTTAAATGTAAACCCATAATGGAGACTTCTCATGTAGCACAACATAAAAGCTGATTGCTTGCTTACACACCAGAAATCCCTCTGGTTCTAGAGAAACGAGGAAACAAGAACATCTTACCCGCAATAACTAAAGATCTCCCGCCATTTGTCAAGAAATGAAATTTTCCTAGTTATCTCCTCTAAATCCAGCTCCCGGGAGCTTTGTTCCTGGTCCGAGTCTTGCATAGTCCCTTGGGTAATGCGGGGAACTGAAGAAGGGAGTTGTTTCCTTGGGAGAGAGAGGTCTGGCAGAGGGGACGAAAGACGCTGGCTCTGCGGACGGCGAGCTGAAAAGCTCTGCCTCTTCGGACCATCGAGGTCACACCACACGGATGCTGCTCTGGGCTCTCTGTAAGCCCCTGCCATCAGATCACGATTAAACTTTCATTCGAGGTGGAATACTTTGTGTATTGTTCTCTGTACAGATGCTATGAACGTTTAACCTGAGACACACGCTTATAAACCAAAGGATTGCAATTACTTTTTCTGTATCAAAGCAATTGGGATAATTTAGTTGATGAAGGATACCATCCTGGAGAAATGTGATAGTACTTTGTGCTGTCGTGCTTCTGTGAAGTGTTTGTGGTACAGAAATACTTAGCCAAGGGCTGGGTAAGAGCCGTTCTGCTGATTATCTAAAAACCATATTAACTACTGTTGGATAATATGCAGGCCAAGGAAGAAACTGTCCAACAGATGTTTGGCATAGGGTTTAGTACGCAGAAGTCTTGCACACAGTTTGAAAAAGGGCCGGTTTGCTTCGTTGCAGGGACAAGTCTAAAATTATGTCACGTGCTATTGGCTGTATGAAATGTAGCTGCAATAAACCGGCATAATAGAGAATGTCCATTGTTGTGATGGTGAATCTTATGTGTCATCTTGTTGGGCTACGGAAGCCAGCCTAACACCAATCTGGTCCAACACCAATCTAGATGTTGCTGTGAAGTTATTTTTTTTTTTTTCCGATGTGATTAACATTTACATGGTAGATTTTGAGTCAAGTGGATTATCCTTCAAAATGTGGTTGAACCTCAACCAATCAGCTGGGAGGCCTGAAGAGAAAAGACTGTGAGGTCTCCGGAGGAAGAAGGAATTCTGCCTCTAAAAAGCCTTCAGACTCAAGACTGAGGCATCAGCTCTTCTCTGGGTCTCCATCCCGCTGGCCTGCCTTGCACATTTTAGACTTGCCAGTCTTTTGTGAGCCAATTCCCTAAAAGGAAGGTCTCTCCTCTCTCTCTCTCTCTCTCTCTCTCTCTCTCTCTCTCTCTCTCACCCTGAGTAATAGTGTTTATCAAAAACAAACACTGGTTACTAGTAAAAGTGTTTTTGGCTCCTCTGATTTGGTTGAATATCAAAATTGAATCTCAGGAGGTCATTTTTCTCTCTGAACATTTCTGACCATGAGTTTTGTAAAATCCCAAGAATGTGAAGAGGTCAAGGCAAAGAGGCTATTTGGATTTATTATGATTTGAGTAGTCAGGGCTGAGGGGATATATATTATATATATATATTTTGCAATATTTTATATATATATACATATATGTATATATATTTATATACATATATATGTATATATATAAAAAATATTGCAATATATATATATATATATATATATATATATATATATATATAATGTTGCAAAGACCTTGAAACATAGCAAGTCACTAATGAAACCAGAGGTGGATTTAGGTGTCCACTGTTTTGCTTCGCTTTGGAAGTCTCTGCCTCTGGTTTCTTTAACTTTTGGTGGTTGTTTAACCATTTCATATTCCCAAGTCCCATAAGCTTCCATCGGATTTCGTATTTTTATTGTAAACGTAAGAGGCATAAATAATTCCTTTCTTATTTCCCTTCTCTAGCCATAAATGCTTTTTTTTAAGCCTTACTGTTCCCTTCTTTATAATTTTATAGTTTTAGTGGTAGCATCAGTATTTAATATTTATTAGGCACTCCCAGTATAGAAAAAAAAAAAAGAAATTATGTGATCCTTGCTCTCAAATAACGATGAGAAGTGTCTTGGAATTTTTTATTTAGAAAGCCACATTAAAAAGTAAATTCTGGATCTGCCATTTAAATTGTTTAATAACCCCAAACCAAGAAAGAAGAGTAGCTACCTTTTTCTTAAGAATCATTATTAAATCTGTGTATTTTTGTCTGTGGCTATGTCCTACTTTACAGAAAATTATGTTGGTGAATAGACAGCTTACCAATAAACTGTTCTGTTGGGTTTCATAAACATATATTGGGTATTTCCTATGTGCCAGGCACTTGGAAAGGCCAAGGTAAATAACATGAGGTTCCTGCTCTCTCCAGTGGTGGAAACAGACACACTGAGAGAGGAAAATGCTGTGAGAACAGAGGCTCAGCGGGCAGTACGTTCACAGGAGATGGACAAGACAGTGGAGTGGTTACGAGCATGGCCTCTGGGCCCCAACTGCTTAGTTTTGAGTCATGGTTTCATCTCTTGCTATCTGTATGGCTTTAGACAAGTTATTTAACTTTGCTGTACCTCAGTTTATTCATCTGTGAAGTCAGGATACTTTCATATCTTTACCATATTAAGACTTCTAATCTATGAAAATAGTATACTACTCCACTTATTTAGACCTTATTTCTCTTCCCATTGTTTAATTCCCAAAAGTGGAATGCCTGAATCCAATGCTATGATCATTTGATTGATTGATTGATTGATTGATTGATTTATAAGTTTATTTATTTTTTTTGAGACAGAGAAAAAGCATGCGTGCATGAACAGGGGAGTGGCAGAGAGAGAGAGAGAGAGAGAGGGAGGGAGGGAGGGAGAGAGAGAGAGAGAGAGAGAGAGAGAGAGAGAATCCCAAGCAGGCTCTGTGCTACAGAGGCTTGACATGAGGCTTGATCCCATGAAACATGAGGTCATGACAAGAGCTGATATCAAGAGTCAGACACTTAACCCACTGAGCCACTTGGGCACCCCAAATGGCATGGTCATTTTAAAGACTTTAGCTACATATTCCAACTTTCATTGTTGTTTGTAAGCGTCCCTTGCTCAACCTGTCTTATTCCTTTAATTCTCAAGTTGGAATTCATGGTTCTACTCTTTTTAATAAAGAAAGTGCTGCCTTTACTTCCTTACCATTCTCTTCATTTTCAGTTGGATACTGATTAGGGCTCTATGGCTAGAAAGGGCTGGCCTCTGGAATATACCAAGAGTCAAGAATGTGATTCAACCACATCCAGAGGAAGCCACCACTCTCTTGGGCATTGTATCAAGACTTAGAGCAGGAGGCCTGGGTGTAAGAAATGAAGTACAAAGAAAAAATGGGACTGGGGGATCCTGGGCCAGGCTGGAGGGACAGGGCAGGGGAGAGGTACAGAAATATGTGGAATCTGGGATTGTCCTTTTCTACAGTCTTATGCCTTTGTCCCTACCTCATGGCATGTGAAATCACCCAAAACTCCTGTTCCAAGACTTTCCCCACTGCAGCAAAGGATTGGGGCTGAATACGGAGTCTCAGGCAGCAAGAGGTCTGCAGCAGCAAAAGGAAGGAGTAAGAGCAAAGCAAGGATAGTTGGGCAGAAGGAGGGTTTTGCAGCCATGTGGTGGGGGCAGTGGGTGATGGTGGAGGGTCCAAAATCACTCATCTGTGAAGGAAGTATACTACATAAATGCAGAAACCTGTGGTCTGAATCCATTTGTATTCTTTGTGGATAATTAAAAAAAATAATACCAATGATTTCATGAGAGAGGCTAGTATCTCTTCCAAACATAGACATCAGTATGTAAAAATTTAGTGTTTTTTTTTTAATTTTTTTTCAACGTTTATTCATTTTTGGGACAGAGAGAGACAGAGCATGAACGGGCGAGGGGCAGAGAGAGAGGGAGACACAGAATCGGAAACAGGCTCCAGGCTCTGAGCCATCAGCCCAGAGCGTGACGCGGGGCTCGAACTCACGGACCGCGAGATCGTGACCTGGCTGAAGTCGGACGCTTAACCAACTGCGCCACCCAGGCGCCCCAAATTTAGTGTTATTAACATTTGCTGTAGTTTCCCAGAAAGCTATGACTGATCAATCAGCCTTATAGTCAAATTTGAAAATGCTGGGCTTGCAAAGGTTTTGACTAGCTGGCAAAATTATTCCCAGACTTTCTTCTTGCTGTTTTCTTATGATGATTCATAGACAGAAATCTGGAAATAAACTTTTAGAACCTTTTGATTTTTTTTAAAGCAAAATCTCTTTAGTGTTTAATTAACCTTACCCCTGAAAAGCTCTTCCTTAGGATTAAGTTAAATCCTTTATGCTTTAATTATCATTCATTCTCTTTAGTTCTACTTTCTGTGAAGATGGAAATTTCCTGATTACATTCCTTCCTAAAAGAACTCTGCCAATCCATAGAAACTAGAAGATGGCTGATATATTCTCTTTTTGTTCTTCGGTGATGTAGTGAGGAGAAGAGGGTGTCAGGCTCAGGGTCAAGTTCCAAGGCCTCCCCCATGACTTCATAACTTTGGAAAAGTTAGTCAGTCTCTCTGAGCTTCATGTGCTGTGGCTCCTTTGACTTACTTCATGGAATCATAATGAATATGACTTATGTGAAAACTCCTAATCTTTAACCAATGTTTTCTTACTTCCTATATGTTAAAAATTCTCCTTTACAGCCTACAGAATGGGAGAAGATATTTGCAAATGACATATCTGATAAAGAATTAGTCTCCAAAATCTATAAAAAACTTATCAAACTCAACACCCCCAAAACAAATAATCCAGTTAAGAAATGGGCAGAAGACATGAATAGACATTTTTTCCAAAGAAAACATCCAGATGGCTAATAGACACATGAAAAGATGCTCAACATCACTCATCATCAGGGAAATACAAATCAAAACCACATTGAGGTACCACCTCACACCTGTCAGAATGGCTAAAATTAACAACACAGGAAACAATAGATGTTGGCAAGGATGCAAAGAAAGGGGGAAACCCTCTTATACTGTGGGTGGGAATGCAAACTGGTGCAGCCACTCTGGGAAACAGTATGGAGGTTCCTCAAAAAGTTAAAAATAGAGAAAGGGAGACAAAACAAAACAAAACAAAACAAAAAAACCACCACCACAACCATCATATGTTATAAATAAAATTACATTCTTTAAAAAAAAAATTAAAAATAGAACTACCCTATGACTCAGCAATTGCACTACTAGGTA